TATAGCTTATGTATATACAAGAGGGGCCTGTGTGGTTATAGACAGTATAGCTTATGTATATACAAGAGGGGCCTGTGTGGTTATAGACAGTATAGCTTATGTATATACAAGAGAGGCCTGTGTGGTTATAGACAGTATAGCTTATGTATATACAAGAGAGGCCTGTGTGGTTATAGACAGTATAGCTTATGTATATACAAGCGAGGCCTGTGTGGTTAAAGAGCAGAGATTTGGTTTGATTGGAGGGGGAAAAACTTTCCAAGCTGAAAATCAGTTAGTAGATTTTTCCAATGTAGGATGTTTACTTTTTCCTTGTTTTCCAGTTCAAATAATGGTTTTCTTATCAAATAAATATGATGGATTCTTTAGTCAGACTGATTGTTGTAATCCTTGTAATGGTGAGGTGATGTTATTTATTGGAGAGTTTTATCTGTCTCTCTGCAGGTTGTCAGGCTGTAGAGTCACAGAAGAAGGCTGTTCTTCCCTGGCTTCAGCTCTGAGGTCAAACCCCTCACACCTGAGAGAGCTGGACCTGAGCTACAATCACCCAGGAGACTCAGGAGTGAAGCTGCTCTCTGCTGTACTGGAGGATCCCAGCTGTAAGCTGGAGAAGCTGAAGTGAGTACAGAGTGTGAGTCTGACACGCTACAGATACTTATGCATGTATGTGAAGAAGAGGCATCAATAAATAAATGGATACAGCAGCACTATGTCATTCTGCTTCTCCTGTAGTGTGGACCACAGTGGAGAGTGCAGGACCACACCAGGCTTACAGAGATGTAAGTGTGTTTGCATGTTTTTATTAATAATACAATTAATACCATTTTGTGGTTGTATTCATGCAGTTGTTGTGATGAGTGTGGCTGTTTGCACTGTATGTAGATGGATTTCCATGTTCTACTGGGCCAGACTTGACGTTATGCAAACTTCAGGAACAGAGCTGAAGTATAGGATAGAGATATTATTATTACTATTATTATTATTGTTGTTGTTGTTAATAATTATTGTAGTATTATAACAATTTGTATAATTATATATGTACATGTAAATTTGTGTCCGCATAATGTTAAACATTAAAATAACATTTTATATATAATGATAGCATTATATAAGTATTATTATTGCTGATAATAAATCATAATAATGTATAATAATAATAATAATAATATAGGATAGGATATTATTATTATCTCCACTAGGATTATATCGTATCACTCTGTATAACGTAGGATATACCACCACTAGGGGGCACGGAATCACATGACCTCCACAATAGCGTGGAGATGACGTCAGTGCAACATCGGGAACTAGCTTTAATAATCCAGCCTGCTGAGTTCTCTTTAGTAGCGTCGTGTCCGGGTCAGGAGTGGAGTTTCCAGCCCACAGTAAAGACGCTCCTGGTGGAGTCTGCAGCCAGATGCTCTTGGGCAAACCGGCGTTGATACTCAGGCATGCGTTTCACACCGTCCGACAGGGGTGTCACACTGATCGTGACCTTTAAGATGAGAAATATACAGGCAGGAAATGTAGCTATACTAAATAATTTCACTCACAAAGATGTCAGATCAGGCGACGACACCTTGAGAAAGTTGAACAAAAAAAATCCAACAGAATGTCTGTCAGCAGGTGCAGTCAGTTATTCACCACATTCAGTGTCATGCAGCTAAATATTCGGGGCATATACTAGTCGTCGAGGAGAATTTTAAATTTCAAATTTGCACAAACATTTTCAGGACCAAAAAAACAGTTGAGTTACAACGGTGCCATTTTTCTGCCCCCTTCTAAACCGGCGCTGATGCTGGACTCTCTCCTCAGTCTGCGGGCAGCGCTGCCATGAAGAGGCGTGCGGTTCGAAGGAAGGTTATATTTTAAAGTAAAGACGCTCACTTTTAGTATTGATGTCTGGTGCCAAATTTTTGTGGTAAATGTGCTTGTGGTGAATGCTCCTGCAGCATTTTGGTGGCTCTTCCCGCCGGCGTCGCGCGCCGTCCGACATTTCCTGAGCTATTTCATAAACTTCAGTTCCCGCTTCGTTCGGGGAAGCTGTGCT